GGGGTTTGATAACCTAATAGGTTAGCTACTGAATAAACTTGAAATTTCGTGAATTCGATGTCAGTAGAATATTGTGAGTTATTTTAAGTGAATTGCGCCAATTTATTTTTCAAACTGAGTCGTTGCGGAATTTTGAAAAATATTTTAGTGCCTTACGCGTTGTCGAAAGATATAGTGTTGTAGTTTTTAAAATCACAGTTTCTGTCATAGGTTTAAAAAATTCGTAACTCACTAATTACTTGAAATTTTTGAATAGAATTGGACGGGTTTGATAGCCTAATGGATTAACTACTGAATAAACTTGAAATTTCGTAAATTTGATGTCTGTAGAATATTGTATGTTAGTTTAAGTGAACCGCTAATTTATCTTTCAAACCGAGTCGCTGCAGGATTTTAAAAAATATTTTAGTGATTATATGTTGTCAAAAGAAGTCAATTTTTAGATATGTCTTATTATAAGAAGTTTCTTACCCTCCCTTAAAATTTCGTTATTGATAACTATATAATGAATTTATTTAGGCACTTGTCATGCTAAATAGAAAAATAAAACAACTTAATTTTATTTATTTTTTTAAAGATGTGCATACTTGAAATTTTTATTTAAGACCTTTTATTTAATTTGTAAACACATGTATGCCATTGTCCATGTAATAAAATTGGTAATATGCATGGAGAAAAATATATTGTTTAGAAGAAAAAAAATAATTCTTAAATTTAGTTTTTATGCTTTCTGCTAAAAGTACAGTTAATTACTATGTTTACGAATAAAGTACAATTATTCAAATGATATTTCGATCTATTCAGATCGGAGCATTACAACTTAATACTCATATTTTGAATTTGTTCAAATGCTTGATTCATTTTGAGGCAAGTGTTGGTCATATGTAGGGGCGGACCCAAGGGGGATTCCTTTTTTTTGAGCTCACTATGGAATATCAAACGAAATTGAAATATTACAATCTTAATATCATTTCGATGTAGCAAATGTTACGACTCGTCAAAAAAGGTAGTTCCAAACTAATATTTCGAAAAATTTAATAACAAACTAACTGATAAGTGTGTTTTTACACACTTATTTAGCCCACAAACATGATTTAAACATGGACAAAGTAGTTGAATTATGACTTAATCTTGTTTAATTCATGCTATGTAGATGTTTCTATGGAAAAGATGAAATTCAGAAGAAAAGAGCCGAAGAATGACCAAAACGGAACAAAGCGATAGTTTGAGGACCAAGTTGCAAATAATCCATAGATGAGACGGGAGATGGAATGAAGATTCAAGAGTGTTAAAGTTCAATCGGATGAGGAAAGGAGTCAAGAGGTGAAATATGGTCGAAATATTATCAAGTATCAAATTTCAGGCGAAAAACTTATGCTCGTGATTTTGAGTCTTTACTTGAGATCCATTTTTGGCATAGTAAAAATTAGAATTTGAGGAAGCCTATTTCTATCAAAAGTGTATATCTTTGAGTTTTCTTCCCAATGCACTTTGAATCACTTCAATAGGAGATTGGGAGAGAAAGTTATGACCAAAATACTGAAAGCTGTCCGGAGGAAAAATTTTATAACCATGCGGCCGCATGGTTATAATTCCTTGCAGCCGCACAGGGTATAGCAGGGATCCAAATGAGCTGAAAAATTGAACCATGCGGCCGCATGGCTTTAAGTTCGCTAAAAAATTCTGAAATCCCGTTTTTAATTGAAACTCTTTCGGGGCTCCGTGGGGACATGATATAAAAGACAAAATTCATCAGAAATAGGGTAGAACGTCCATGGAGAAGAAGAATACAACTTTTGGAGGCAAGGAACACGAACTTGAAGCGGATTTCACAAGGATTCAAGAGGATTTTCAAGGTTTTATTCAAGATTTCAGATTTGAAGTACTTTCATACGGGTGTTCTTCTTTCTATTCATTAAATTCGTTTTGTTTTCTGTAATTATGAATCTTCTAGGCTAGGGTTTTAATTACTAGGTGATCGATGAACCGTTGTTTATTATTTTAATTTTATATTTCATGAACTTGATATAAAGATTCGTTGAATAATTTGATTGATTTACATGCATTGATTTTCTTCCGTAAATAGTGGTCAATGATTGTGTGAGTATTGATGACTTGTTTCTTACATTCGAGAGAAGTGAAATAGGTTCGATAAGGTGTAAATTAACATAGGGTCCGATAGGGAATAGAGATATACCCCTATGCTTTATGTAATTCTTAAATTGTTCACAAAACTACATGCATTCTTGTATGTTTGCATCATCCATAGAAATATAGGCTGGTGGTGTGCAAGAATAGGTCTAATATATATCGAGAGAGTATATTGGATAGAATTAGGAACATTGAATTGACAAATTTTCATCGAATCATTAATTTTATGAAATTAGGGTTTTTATAACTTCAATTGGGGATTCGTGATCCTAGTAACTTTAATTTGATTCATTTTAATAAATTAGCTTTTAAACTTGCTTAATTTCATTTGCTTGAGTGTTTAAGTCGTTTAATTAGAGAAATTTCGAAATTAGGGTTTTCAATTGAAATTAGGGTTTTTAATTGAAATTGGGGCTTTTTGCACTTAGATCACATTTTCACTCAATTAGATTCGGTTAAGGCTAGATTAAATAGAATTGAACTACTCAATCTCTGAGGGACGATATTCGAACTTTTAAAAATTCACTTTATTACTTGTTACGAACCGTATACTTGCGGTAGTTTTAAATCGAAAGAATTATTTCGTGAACACTAACTTTAAAATTTTTTTGACAATTAAACGCTGGCCATATCCGTAAATCTTCTATATCCTCTCAAAGTTCACTTTGATAATTATATCATAAATATATCGAATGATCTAAATGAATATCGAAAATAGTTAAATGTACGTCAAACGTGTATGATAAAAAGAGATGTATAACTCGTCTTTTTTGAAAAAAATATCAATTAATTTTATTAATGTTTATTATTTTTGCACGACAAATTTCTCAATATAACTTATATCATTTTATTAGGAAGTTTTATATGTGGTATAACATCAAATTTTTCTTTTTTGGCGTAAAAATTCTTAATAAAATTTTTATTACTTCATAGGGGTTATAAATTGTTATATTACTTTTTTATTTTGATTATTTTTATGTCTGAAAAAAAAATTTATATATATAAAAAATTCAATAGTTTTTAGGATTTTTTTTATTGTTGTTACATTTTCCTCTCCATCAATTATTATTATTTTTTTCAAATGACGACAAAAATTTTATTAGGAAGTTTACTAGATTATTTTTTAAAAAAAATTAATTGATTGAGAGGAAAAAGTAACAATAATAAAAAAAATCCTAAAAATGATTGAATTTTTTTTTATATAAAATTTTTGAGATGTAAAAATAATCAAGATGAAAAAATAGTATAACGGGTTATACCACATATAAAGTAATGAAAAAATTTTCGTCGCTTTTTTTAAAAATTTGATTGCGACCCCTTAATGTAAAATGTGTGCGTCCCCTTGATCATATGGTTGATTTGTGGGTCTAGTTTTGTCTAGATAGTACCATGCTTGCTGCAAAACTCGTTAGATTTGAAGATAACAACAATATAGAGATGGAAAAGCATAATTCTCAACAAGAAAAAGTGAAAAAAAAATAAAAAAATTTGTGGTGGCTGTGAAATAATTGCCATTGATTTCTAATTTCTTTATTCATAAGAGAAATTGGGTACTCGAGGGCGACAAGAACGAGCGATGGTGGCAGTGGAAGGTACTATGGGCTTCGGCGTGGTTGGTGGGGTGGGAGGGAGATGAATAGTTCTATGTTCTTTACTTCTTTTTATATATTAATTTAAAATCTTAAATTATTTTATGTTCAAATTGTGAAGTTATCAATTTGCCCTTTTTATATTTGATAAAAGTCAATTTTTCTGGTCAACTGCCTATTTGTCCTTCTATTGCAATCTAATGAAAGGGTTGATATTGGGGATGACACATTCAATTAAATTTATTGTTTGTTTCATTGAAAAATTAAAATATTAATTTAATTTTAACAACGACACATACAATAAATTTGAATTTTTCAAATGATAAAAATAGTTTAAATTTTATAAAATATATTAAAATTAAATTTAATTATTGCGTAATTGAGTAATAATTTCTCGTGGTATTGACAATTCAAATTCGTTTGTCCACTTTATTACTTTTATGTGACCCGTGCAATTGTCTGAACGAACAATATTTTGATATCATTTTTATAAATTTAGTGGCCAAAATTCAATTACTTTAAAATTTAGTTAGCAATTAAAGATATTTTTTAAAAGTTAGCGAGTAATTGAAGACATTTTTTTTAAAGTTTAGCGAGCAAAAAACTGCCTACACATACTAAGCCCTTGTTTGAGCTCCATTTTTTTGGGAAGAATGAATTTTGGAATAATGTATTGATGGGAAGTGTGTGGTTAAAAAATAAGAAAAAAATTTAAATTTATGTGTAATATTATTTTATTGAAGAATGTGTGATTGAAATGATATCAAAATACTGTTGAAAAATATATTTTTTCAAAAGAATAGGGCTCAAACAAAGGTTAAGACTATCCTATGGCAAGGCCAATGTGGGAGATACTCATCCCTCTCAACTTCCACAGCATTTCTTTGGCTCATGAGGTATGACTTAAGCTTCCAGTATGAACATTCATCAGTTCAGTTTTTGACAGATGTCACTTAAGGGTAATTGAAGATATTTTTCAAAATTTAGTGAACAATCGAAAACGTAACAATTTGTTAAAAAATTGACGCGACGCCACATCTATATTCCGTTAGTCACGTATCTAATTCCATTAAAGAATTGGAATAGGTGTCAAGGAAGCGAGTTACGTCCAATATTTTGATAAATACAATGAACAAAACTCGATATTTTAAATTTTAATGAGTAATTGAAAACATATTCATAAGTTTAGTAACCATTGAGACAATTAACTCCACACTTCTCATTTTGGCGGGTTTTCCATTCTCATCTTAATAATCTCCCGCCAAATTCCAAGTTCAAGCTTTTGTAGCTCCTTCAATTTGAATACAATTTATATCTATATGTACGCAGAATTTCTGCGTGAATCCAATTAACTAATTTCTTGCTTTCATTTTTTTGCCTCTTCTGTTTCAATTTCATTTCTAGGGTTTTCTAACAACTATTCAAAAGAGCTTGAATTCGCAATTTTCAGAGTAGATTCAAGGGATTCGGACGATGAGTGCAGTCAACATAAAAGACGTCACCGTTTTGGACAACCCGGCGCCGTTTCTTAACCCTTTCCAATTCGAAATCTCTTATGAATGCCTGACTCCCCTAAAAGACGGTAATGACGCGATTCCTTTTTGGCTTTTGGATCTTAATTTTAAGCTTTTGCAAGTATAATTATGTGATTGCTTACAAATGAATCTTACAACTCAAGACACGCTCCCTTCCCGGAATAAAAATCCGTGCATCGAAAGTTTTTCTTGTATAGTTTGTTCTTCGTGGAGCTTGATTAATTGAAATGCTCAAAATTTTGGCTATGAGTTCAAGTTATATAGTACTAAGGTGCTAGTCTCATTGTTACTTTTATGAAAAGAATTTATGGTGGGTCAGATTATTGATTTGGTGGTTTGATATGGTTGGAATTACTTAATATAAAAGTTAATCTAAAAAAGATCAATTCAGAATGTAAAATGGGTTTGAAATAAAGATAAGAAGCTTAATTAATAATTAGTCTTTAGATGTCTAACAGTAGAGGCATTTAAAGGCCTTTGTCACTCTCACCAGCAATGTTTTCTACATGATTGATTAACATTAAGTAAGCTGCAAAACAGGATAATTGAAAAGAATTCTCAATTCAAGTGTTATGTTTCTAATGATGGGAGGGGGTATCTTCAAGTTCAAATAGTAACCACATTTTATGTGAATTGAATGTCTTCCTAAATTTTACATTGAATGTGAAATAAAGTGCACTGAACAATAATTGAATGATTAAAGTCTGAAGTAAAAGAAGATTTTCTTCCTCTTGCATCTCTCAGATTCTACTTTTTTTGACGAGGGGTGGGGGAAGCACTTATATTCTGTAATTCTCTTTTCAGATTTTAGCAGAATATATTCCAGAAGTTATTCTTTAGTCCATTCAATCTGGAGATAATTCAAAAACTTTTAGTCATGACTACATATGGTTAGTTAATTTGCCAACCTTATGTCCATAGCAATATGGATTCTTCCTCTCCTTAAGCCTGGTTAATTTAAGAGATGACATATTATAAGATTGAAGTTCGTAGTGTGGAAGCTGGTTAGAAGTGAAAATGTAACTGCAAAAAAGAGAATATGATCAGGATGTGTGGTAAGGATGAAACTATTCAAACTGAAATTGTATGCTAAGTTCCTCCAGTAGTCAATCAAGACTTGGAACTTTCGAATACCATGGAAGCTTTTTTCAAAAAACAAATAAGAAACCTTCAAGAATCCTGAAGTATGCCAGTTGTAGATTAGTGGATGCCATGCAACAGCCTCCTTAATGCTGATACCGTGAACTCATTAATGGTATTACAAACACATGAACTCCATTGAGAATTCTATTAATCATGTGTTAAAACTCTACTGAAGCACATGGGTCAAGGCACACGAATTGCTGCAAACAAAATTTATCTCAAAGACAGAATTCAGTGATATAAAGTTAACATAATTCAATAATATAAAGTTTTAATGTCTGTCACTGTAAGTGGATTAACTCTCATAATCTCCAATCCTCTAAAACTATAATATTAATGTCTCTTGTTTCCAAACTAATTATATAAATAATAATGGATGAGCTGGCCACCGGAGAACATTCAACATGTATATCCAGATAACTTGACGTGATTTACCCACCAGAATAAAGTGTAAAAAGTTTGAGCTTAATAGTAAAAGTTTTAACATTTTATAAAATTTCAAAAGAAACAGATAGGGTATAGCTATGAATTATAGTATCTTACCACCATATAACTATGATTAAAATTAATTAGTGGTCACAATGATATAACATAATTGAATTTACTGAACAAAACTAATTTTAGATTTCAAGTATGCATTGTCAAATGCATTGTTCATAGCACTCTTACGTATTTTGACAGATTTGACAATAGTTTTCAGTCACAAAAATTTGGCGTCATGACTCATGCTAATTCCAGAATTACCTATGTTGCAATAATATAGTTAGCCATAAGGATCGTTCCTGTGTCAATGGGTATACACGCTTCTCTTCTTCACCACCCTCACTCTAATCATGATCCATGCAATCTATTTAATTTGACTCTGGAGCAGAATTGAAGTGAAAAATGGGTCTGTATTCATTGTGTCCTTTCCAATTTGATTGGTTACATGGTTGTCTCTGAATGATTGTCCGGGCTCTCTCTATTAATTTCCATGATTAACTATCTAACTTTTAGAGAGGAAGGTCTTTTCTTCAGCCATGTAATGTTTTCAAGTTCATTACAGATTTGGAATGGAAGCTGGTTTATGTGGGATCGGCCGAGGATGAAACTTCCGACCAAGTTCTAGAAAGTGTGCTTGTTGGTCCTGTTAATGTTGGCAACTACCGTTTCGTTTTTCAGGTAATCTTTATGCATTTCACTGCTAAGCCCTTAGTTTTAGTTTGAACTGTTCATGAATATTTCTCAAAATTTCCCAGGCTGATCCCCCAGACCCCTTAAAGATCCGTGAAGAAGACATTATTGGAGTCACTGTCCTACTTCTGACCTCCTCGTATCAGGGACAAGAATTCCTTCGAGTGGGATACTATGTCAACAACGATTATGACGACGAGCAGCTAAGAGAAGAACCTCCTCAGAAGGTTTTGATTGATAAGGTCCAAAGAAATATTTTGGCCGAGAAGCCTAGAGTAACGAAATTTCCAATAAATTTTTATCCCGAGAACAATGAAAACGTGGAACAACCCCCTTCATCACCTCAGCAGGTTACAGAATTCGGTATGAACGGGAAGGAACCTGTTTCCTCCAACCCTCAGTCTGATGCTCAATCCCCAGAAACTCTGCATCTTACTCTACCTGGAGTCTAGAAACATTGCTAGGAATTGATGTATTGATTTATTAGGCTATGATATCTTGGCTACAAACTGATTAATTCATCTTAATGTATGAATTGTATTATTTTTCCATTTTCTTAATTTTTTAGAATACACCCTTTCCAATACACTGATTGATAGAAATTATCTTCTAATCTCAGTTTTGGAACATTACTGATATGCGAATAGCACCTGTTTGAATCTCTTTAAAATGAGAATTCACATTTTTAAACAATAACTTGGGCATTAAAAAATTCCGGTGGCACAGTACATTTGTCAGATTAGAGATTTTTGATAGATGCCATTTAAAATTGAAGGACTATTACACCCTTACTTTCATAATTTTGTTCCGAAAAATACCAGTGCACTTATAGTTGCAAATTATTTTCCATCACTATACTTGAGGGTAAGATGGGAATATCAAATTATGAATTTGTCATTAGTAATTCAAAAGTCAAGTGAAGACAATTATTTGCTCCGACTTACCTACACCATCAATCAATGCGGGCCTACAGTGGAAGCAAAAAAAATTGGACCATTCTCATTATAATGGGCTCAAACGGGGCTTAGTACTTGTTTGAGCTCCATTTTAGACGAGAAAATGAATTTTTGAATAATGTATTGATAAGAAATGTGTGGTTAAAAAATGAGAAAAAGTTTTTAATTTGCGTATAATATTATTTTATTGAAGAATGTGTGATTGAAATTGTGTCAAATCACTGTTGAAAAATGTATTTTGACGAAAAAATGGAGCTCAAACAAGGACATCCCGTGCTACAATGTTATATGGCAACATATATAAATGGATTCGTCATTGGTTGGTTTCACTGTATGTGCGCTTTATTTAGTGTGCATTGGGATTGACCTTCAGCTCCACCCCTACGCACCTCAATACACACTTGGATTGGTGAACAAATATCAGGGAAAAAAAAGAAAAAAAAAAAAGAAAAGAAAAAGAAATATCATCAATATTAACGAGTAAGAATACATTATTACCTTGACTAGCAAGATTCAAGAACAAACAGACAAGCAAATAGACAGCACTAGCTATTTAATTGTAAATCGAAACAAAATTTTCTCATTGAGTTATACAACTTTTGGTTTTTACATTTTAAAAAGAATACCAGCACTATCTCTATCCATTCAATCTACATCAGAAAACCGTAGACGATACCTATTATTGTTTCTAACACATGGCCTTCTGTATCTTCTTCACACGTCTCCCGAATCCTTGCTTCGGCTTGCCATCGCGACCCAACCTTGACGATGGAACCTGCACCCTTCTCTTGGCTTTCTCAATTTGGTGATTGTTTTCCTCAAATCTTCTTTTCGAGGCATCCAGTTTGAATTCATATGATTGGACGCCTCTTTTTTCCGTGTTTTCCACAACTCTCCTTTTCTTGTCTGCCTCAAACTTTGCTCCTGATCTGCATATTTTAGAAACCTCAGCCTTCCTTTTCTTGTCTGCCTCAAACTTTGTTCCTGATCTGCATATTTTAGAAACCTCAGCCTTCCTTTTCTTGTTTGGTTTCTTGGCTGGCACATTAACGTTGTGCAATCCAATCGGTTGAGCATCTTCATCAAGTTCCTTTTCAAGTTGATTAGCAAATTCATCTGAACTTTCCTCCTCAGATTTCTTGTCTGGCTCATTAACGTTGTAGAATCCAACCGGTTGAGCATGTTCATCAAGTTCCTTTTCAAGTTGATTGGCAAATTCCTCCAAACATTCCTCCGTAGGTTGAGCATCTTCATCAAGTTCCTTTTCAAGTTGATTAGCAAATTCCTCGAAACTTTCCTCCGCTGATATCTTGTCTGGCTCATTAACGCTGTAGAATCCAATCGGTTGAGCATGTTCATCAAGTTCCCTTTCAAGATGATTAGCAGATTCCTCGAAACACTCATCTGTAGATTCTTCCTTACATGCATGATCTTTGCAACCATGGATGACGATCCTCTCTTGATTCTTACTTGGGGTGGTTCTTGCAATCTTGTTTGATCTCTTCTTGGGTTTTGCTGGGGCTTGTGAATCAGCATCGACTGTAGATTCTTCCTTACATGCATGATCTTTGCAACCATGGATGACGATCCTCTCTTGATTCTGACTTGGGGTGGTTCTTGCGATCTTGTTTGATCTCTTCTTGGGTTTTGCTGGGGCTTGTGAATCAGCATCGAAAAGGGACTCAATAATCTGCATTCTTCTCGAGCGAAACTCTTTTGCGTCCTCGATGGAGGCGAGAGTGATCGAAGCATTGATCAAGTCGAAAATATCGTTTTTCCGGGCATCCTCTTCACTGCGAAAATACCCCTTCCAATAAAAACTTTCAATGTAACCCATTACTCAAAATTCGCTTCCTTCAACGCAAGAATATTCTGCTAAATCGTTGTGTGTGAAAAACAGAAGATTTTAAATGCAAGGTGAAGAACAGGGTTGGAGATTTTAGACTAAGGGCAATGTATCCGTTTCCTGGTAAGAGAAGGATTGAAATGGTGGGAGGATTTCACTAATAAGGTACTTGCAAAATCGTACATAAGACATTTGATATGTTTTGTCATTTTATATTTTTAATTCAATTTTATTATATCAACATATCTGGTTCTGGTGGTCCCTGTTTTGTACCATTTAAAATCTATTTTAATTTAAATCAAAACTAACGATTAATTTTGATCACATACCTTATAAGTTCCACAAATTTTGAACCATACATTTCATCAACTTTTTCTAAAAGTTTGATTTTAATCCATATCAAACAAGGACCAAATATATTTTAAAAGTATTTGATTTTATTTAAAAACGACATCTATCTATTTATGTTAATAACAAAATTTAATATTTTCAATTTCCTTTTATCAAGTTGATTAGACAATGAGTGAACCATTAGCCCTTGTTTGGGCTCCATTAAATCAAAAAATACATTTTTTTTATAACTCATTTTCAATCATACACTCTTCAATAAAATAATATTACACGTAAATCCAAATTTTTTTTTTTTTAACCACACATAAATTGGATCCCAAACAAGGGCAAATAAAATTGAATAAAAAACAATTGCGATCTAATTTGGATAATTCCAACCATGCTTGGTGTGTACATCATTTTTTACACTTTGTTTATAATGTCAACAATAATGTACAAATGACATTGTCCAGATAATTTTATAATTTGAGCCGGGTGGGGCTGACTCACAAAAGGCACAGATATATGCCCAATTGAAATGCGCCCATTTATAAACATGTGAAAAAAACCTTTTTTTTCCCTTCTTAATTTTTAAAATTATTTTTTAGAAAAATAAACTAAAAGCTCGTGAACATCCCAATCTCAACTCAACTCGACCAATAAATCAGCATAACAATGGAATGGCCAAGCTCATTTTTAATGGATGAATAGAGTCCCTATTTTAGAGAGTCCAGCAAACTTGGCTCGATCCATCATATTTCTCAAGTGAAGGCAAATTAAACTTAAAAGAAGAAGGAAAATCCTGTTTCTACTTCCCAATTTCCATTATATTCTTATTCATATTTTGGTCAGGAATGATCTAATGAGCATCGATGTTCATTTTATGTTAAGTATCGATGACTTGTCATATAGATTATAGGTAAATTTTAAACTTAGCCCCTGTTTATTTCTTATTTTTTTCTCGTTAAAATGAAAAATATGTTCGTTATTTATCACATCAAATCATCACCATATTCGGATTTTTATATTTTGTGTGGGGTACGTAACAACTATATTTTTCATTTTCATTTTTACGCAAATGGAAAACAAATGGGACCTTAATTTAAATGTTGAAAGTTCACCATAAGTTTATTCGTTAATGAATTTATAGGCACATTATCGATGCTTAATATACGATGATCATCAATGCTCATTAGATCATCCCTGATATTTTGATATCAATATAGTTTTGGTTTTACTTTCATATATCGTAATTCACGAGGAAAAAAAAAAGAAAAAGAAAAAGAAGGGAGTATAGGAGAAAGTCAACAAACTCAACACGTGCCAGAAATTCCTTGCTCTGAGTATACGATGTCGTTTAATTTGCAACTGCCAAACGTAATTACCATACAGTAAAAACTGAAAAGTAAAATCGCATCACATTGTACGTCTTCTCTTTGAAAAGTTATACAACCATTTACACTAGCCCTAGCAGTCTCTTCTCCGTTTCCGTACTCTCTCTCTCTCTAAAAATCAGCACTCCGCAATGGCTTCCCGGAGGCTGTTAGCCTCAATTCTCCGTTCCTCCGCCTACCGCAACCGTATCTCGAGTTCCATATTCTCCGCCCCCAGGCTCAGGCCACGTGCCTCTCCTACCGGTCACTTCCTCCACCGTGTTGCTCAGTACGCCTCCTCTGCCGCTGCCCAATCAGCTCCATCGGCGCCATCTAAAGCTACTAGTGGTGGACCCAGTGGGAAGATTACCGATGAGTTCACTGGTAAAGGTGCGATCGGGAAAGTGTGCCAAGTCATTGGTGCTGTCGTTGACGTCAGGTTCCACGATGGATTGCCACCGATCTTGACGGCCTTGGAGGTTTTGGATAATCAGATCAGGTTGGTTCTGGAAGTGGCCCAGCACTTGGGTGAGAATGTGGTCAGGTGTATTGCTATGGATGGTACTGAAGGAATTCCTTGCTCTGAGTATACGATGTCGTTTAATTTGCAACTGCCAAACGTAATTACGATACAGTAAAAACTGAAAAGTAAAATCGCATCACATTGTACGTCTTCTCTTTGAAAAGTTATACAACCATTTACACTAGCCCTAGCAGCCTCTTCTCCGTTTCCGTACTCTCTCTCTCTCTCTAAAAATCAGCACTCCGCAATGGCTTCCCGGAGGCTGTTAGCCTCAATTCTCCGTTCCTCCGCCTACCGCAACCGTATCTCGAGTTCCATATTCTCCGCCCCCAGGCTCAGGCCACGTGCCTCTCCTACCGGTCACTTCCTCCACCGTGTTGCTCAGTACGCCTCCTCTGCCGCTGCCCAATCAGCTCCATCGGCGCCATCTAAAGCTACTAGTGGTGGACCCAGTGGGAAGATTACCGATGAGTTCACTGGTAAAGGTGCGATCGGGAAAGTGTGCCAAGTCATTGGTGCTGTCGTTGACGTCAGGTTCCACGATGGATTGCCACCGATCTTGACGGCCTTGGAGGTTTTGGATAATCAGATCAGGTTGGTTCTGGAAGTGGCCCAGCACTTGGGTGAGAATGTGGTCAGGTGTATTGCTATGGATGGTACTGAAGGGCTTGTTCGAGGCCAACGTGTGCTCAACACCGGCTCTCCCATCACCGTGAGTGTTCATTCCAGGTTTTTAAAGATATTTTATCTAAGATTTTGTTTTTTGTTTATTATGTTTTGAAATTTAGTTACATTTGATTGAATGTTTTAGTAATCGGGATCAGGTTTTTCATTGTTTATTTGAGATAGGAGGATCGGATCTAGATGTTGACATGAATTTTATTTTGGGGTCATTTGACGTGTAGATCTGTAGGTGCTTCTGTTCAATTCTCAGTAAGTTGGTCGGTCGATAAATTGACTATATTGAATGTGTTTTAGATTGGTTTTTTGTTTTTCTTTTGAATATTTTTGGACTTTTGAGGCTTTACATGTGTGAAGCAATATCTAAGATTAGGTTATTAGTTATCATGGCTTGAAATTGGTCATAAAGATAAAATGTACATTGTAACAACCCGATTATTCTAGCTTATAAATTGGATTGTAGAAGGAGCAGTACACATTCACATTCTAATGACTTCCATTATATCAATACATCTAAGTTAACAGATAGTAAAAACAACGTACATTTTCTAGCTTATAAATTGGCCCATGACTGTAGGAAGGATTTTTTATTTTTATTTTTTATTTTTTTGTAATTCGACATTATAGTCAAATGAGAGTAGCATTTTCTACGTACAAGCAATTCATAACTGGTTCAAGCATTTTTGAAATGTTATTGTTTAATGGATAGTAATCTTGGTTGTGCTTTTGAAGACTGTTTCTGGGTTGGTTTGTATATTGTCGAGCTTTTGTTTTGTAGGACTGAAGTGTATGAATTGAAATGTGCCCGTTGGCTTTGCAATACCTTATCTGCTTTTATGGTCCAAATAATTAGCAGACTAATGTTGTATGCCTCATCTTTGGTTGGCCTTCTGGTTGTATACCCTATCTTTGCATGTATTGATGAATTTGATTTCTTAAGTTGTTAATCTCTTTATACTTGTACAATAACTTATGCTGAATGGGAGTGTTTATTCTGTAAATGTTGGTAATTATGTCCCTTTCCTTTTGATGATAGGTGCCTGTTGGTCGAGCCACTCTGGGCCGTATCATGAATGTCATCGGAGAGCCTATTGATGAGAAAGGCGACATTAGTAAGTGAACCACACTCTTGAATGATAGGCAATATTTTTGTTGACTAAAGAAAGGTTGTGGCTTTACTAATAAATGGATGCCGCTGCAGAAACCGATCACCAGTTACCAATTCATCGCGAAGCTCCTGCATTTGTGGAGCAAGCAACCGAACAACAAATTCTCGTTACTGGCATCAAGGTAATTTTCATAAACCCCAACAATTATCATTTGCATTCGCCTGCTTCTCATATGCATTCAAGTTCATCTGGTTTTATTATATCAAGATAACACTGTTGCATGTTATCCCAGGTTGTTGACCTTCTTGCGCCGTACCAAAGAGGAGGGAAGATTGGGCTCTTTGGTGGTGCTGGAGTGGGAAAGACCGTACTTATTATGGAACTGATCAACAACGTTGCAAAAGCTCATGGTTAGTTTTTTTATTCTGTGCATTATTTTTTTTAATGTGCTGATATGCTTAAAGCCTGATTTCTACATGTTTGTTTCCCTTGTCAGGTGGTTTCTCTGTCTTTGCTGGTGTAGGAGAACGTACTCGAGAGGGTAATGACTTGTACAGAGAAATGATAGAGAGTGGTGTCATTAAGCTAGGTGATAAGCAGGTTTGTATGTGTTGATTTTTGTCACCATTCTATTTATTTTATCTGGTTTCTGTGGCTTCCTTATACTTCATCAACTAATTTTACCAGGCTGATAGCAAATGTGCCCTAGTCTATGGTCAAATGAATGAGCCCCCAGGTGCTCGTGCTCGTGTTGGACTTACTGGACTGACTGTGGCTGAACACTTCCGAGATGCTGAAGGGCAAGATGTGCTTCTTTTTATTGACAACATTTTCCGTTTTACCCAGGTAGGAATGCATTTTATGATCATTGTTGAACAGATACTTTTGTGTTCGACTGCTTGCTAATAATATATTCTAATTCATTGAAAAATTGCAGGCCAACTCTGAAGTGTCTGCTTTGCTTGGGCGTATCCCATCTGCTGTAGGTTATCAACCTACATTGGCTACAGATCTTGGAGGCCTTCAAGAACGTATCACTACAACTAAAAAGGGTTCCATTACATCTGTTCAAGCTATCTATGTGCCTGCTGATGACTTGACAGATCCAGCTCCTGCGACTACCTTTGCTCACTTGGATGCCACAACTGTGTTGTCAAGACAGGTACACAGACTTTCTTGAAGTTACATAAAATGATATCATTTTCACACCATAATTTTTTGGCTGTTTCAATTGTTGTTTTTGGATTAGATTTCTGAGCTTGGTATCTATCCTGCCGTTGATCCACTTGACTCAACATCTCGTATGCTTTCCCCTCACATCTTGGGAGAAGAACATTACAACACAGCCCGTGGCGTACAGAAAGTTCTTCAGAACTACAAGAATCTTCAAGATATTATTGCCATTCTTGGAATGGATGAGCTCAGTGAAGACGACAAATTAACTGTTGCACGTGCTAGGAAAATTCAACGGTTCTTGAGCCAGCCTTTCCATGTTGCAGAAGTTTTCACGGGTGCCCCTGGCAAGTATGTCGAGTTGAAGGAGAGCATTAACAGCTTCCAGGTACCAAAAGTTTCTGCACTTGCTAAATTTGGTCTTTCTTATTTAGCCCCTGCTTGGCCCCCATTAAATTAAAATTTATTTTTCTCTCTTTTCTTATCAACCACACATTCTCCAATAAAATAATGCTACACGTAAACCTAAAATTTTTTTCTTTCTCTTTAGCCATACATTCTTCAAAAAATTACTATTCATTTCATTATAATTTGAAAAAAATGGAGTCCAAACCAGGGCTTAATAAATTGTATTATTTGTAATATCATCTGGCCTCAAAGGTATTCACACTATGAAGGGATGAGTATATGCACTACATATATTTTCAAGCAAAAAATGTATATGGTGGGATACATTGGGATTTTAGTTCATGCGTCGTGATTCCTGTCCTTATTCTCATATCATTTATACTATTCTCTATGTACTTAAATGAACTGTAGGTGTATCAGGTTTCTCCTGTTTTTCTTTAATAACGTGTCTCCATTGTTTTGTGATCATTGGTTTACTCTCTTAGGAAGTCCGTATTGGTTAATTTAACCTTCTCTTCTTTCTTCACTGTGAAAGTCCGTTTTGGTCAACTTGTTTTTTCATCAGTTGTGATGCTGATGCATCCGTTGGTCGTGTTAAACAGGGAGTCTTGGATGGAAAATACGATGACCTTGCAGAACAATCATTTTACATGGTTGGAGGAATCGAAGAGGTCATTGCCAAGGCAGAGAAGATTGCCAAGGAATCCGCTGCCTAGATAGATCAAAATTTCCATGAGTTCATCATGTTACGGATATTTGCTAATAATTTAATCTGTGGCCATGCCAACATCTCGAGTTATATTTTCTTCCCAAAATTTCTGTTTATGTTTTACATCAACAGCAGGATTGTGATACGGATGTGGAGTCGAGAGCCTCCCTGACATGCCCCCTTGTGTTTTAGAATGTGAAATAATAAGTGGGGTAAGACGGCGGACCTGTATATTTTTTTTCCCCCCTCAAATACCATATTGGATGCTGCGATTTGGACATGATTTCTGTAATCCACTTTCGCTTATGGTTTTCATACTGCACAATTTTTGTTGAGAATAAACACGCTTCGTGAAGTGATTTTGATCATTAAGCCTGTGGCTCGATGAGTGATATTGTGCATTTTAAAACAATCAATTTCCAATGAAAGACCCTTTCAAGAAGTCACTATAGAAGATGAAGTATACTTTTGCTCTTGAAAGTAATGTTGTTTTGTACTTCACTCGCTTGGAATTGATTGGCGAGTATGCAAAATTCAATCAGTAGTCGAATCAATTCTATGTTATCAAGGAAGGGATTTTTCTAATCTCTTAAAGATTGGTTAATATTTAGCCTCAATTTGATATAGTTAAAAAGTTAATTTTTAGTAGATATTGATACAAGTTGATGAAATGTGTAATTATAAATTTGATGAAAGTTTTGACTTTCATGAAATGTGTCGTTACTGTTGACTTCAACAAGTTCATCAATTTTTTTAGCTAAGCCCTGGATGGTTTGTTAAAAATCAAACTTTCATTAGATTTTTATAAAATTGATTTTGAAAATGTGACAAATATGGTGAGCTCTGCAAACGGATGGTTTTAAATTTTTATTTTTCAAGAAAACCTCGAAAATGGTCCCACTACTTATCAAGAAATGCCACGAGGAAGAGTATAGCCGGTATGTAATGTAACAGACTCGCGGCGCATTTTAACAGTCATCACCCAATTCGTCCCCTCTTCCCCCAACCTTCGCGGCGGCGCTTTCTAGTCTGCTCTACGACCAACTCAAACTAATAAAAAGCCATACAAAATGTCTGTTATTACACATACGCCATTTCCAACCGCCCACCTTTGCTCCCATGCTCCGAACCACACTAAATCATTCCTTCCCCCACCGATGATCCTCCCAAAACTCAAACCCCTCCGTCACCTCTCCTATCACCTACGCCGCCGAGGCCTTGCTATCTCCGCCGCTGCCGTCCGCCAAGACACCACTCTCTGGACTTCTGCTCCGCTGTTAGAAGTCTCCCCAGCTGCTGAGTCTCTTTTCCACGTCGCCATCGACGTTTCTGATTCCCTGGACCTCGCCTCCTCCTATACCAAGGCTGGCCAGTACCTCCAGCTCCGCCTCCAGGACCCCAATACAAAACCCTCCTTCCTCGCAATCGCGTCCCCGCCTTCTACCGCCGCGTCGAAGGGAGTTTTCGAGTTCCTCGTGAAATCCATCACGGGGTCCACCGCGGAGATCCTTTGCGGGCTGCGGAAGGGTGATGTAGTAGAATTGAGTCAGGCAATGGGTAAGGGATTTGATATTGATCAAATATCCCCGGCCGAGAATTATCAGACAGTACTCATTTTCGCCACTGGATCTGGAATTAGGTAAATTTCATCAAATTAACTAAGCATTTTGGTTCTAGTTAGTCCGATTATTCTATTTCTCGTCTTCTTAATTTGGGAAAATGCAGTTGTTTGTGTAATTAGGGAATACGGATTACTCTCTGTGTCTGTGTGTGTCTGTGTGTGTATACACAAAACTAGCCATTAATTTGCGTGCGACTTGTTCTGTTTTATTAGAGCTTCTGGGATGCTCACATATAACATTTATAGTATCTTAGAAGTTCTCAAAATTTTTTCCGCCATTTGTAACGAAATTATATTAATTATAGTATATTTGAGAGCACTGGAATGAGGACTCGGGATTCCCACTCTTATCTCCTTACTACGTAGGGACATCCGGGCACAAGTGCGACCACCCGCAAAGAAAATGAATTGAAAAGGTTCAGTATAAGTCTAAAAAATATTTATATTCGGTATGCGGAATCAATTTTGGTGATGATGTACTAAGAAATATCCATCTCATAGTGGTCAGTCCTTGATTGGTCTTGTAAATACGTTTACAGTCTGTACTAATTGTTGTTTGTATGTTGCTAATATATCTTCTTGCAATGCACCTGTTATTGAAAAATATATGTGGCATGCCTTTTTCACATTTCTTTTGATGTATTAATACCAAATATTGTTTCCTTAGTTCCCCTGTATTGTTTTCATCTTCCATATTTGTTGAACTCATTAATAAATTGACTTGAGATTTAGATAGTTTTTTGATAGAAGTTGTAGTGAGTGATGCTCATCTTTTATGCTGGTTAAATTTAATTTCAATATGACTGAATTTCAGGATTGTAGCATGTCACCCGTGGTCCTTAGCTTCATTGTTATGTTATGGTTATCTGTGACAATTCTGTTATGTTAATATATCAATTTCCATGCTAAATTTGCTTATTGTCTTTTGTGTAGAAAGAATTCAGAATATAGAATGATCCCTTAAAAATCATTTTAAGAATAGGAACAGTGACAAAAGATTGCAGAGTACATGTATAGTGCATTTACCTTCCTGCAAACCCTAATTCAGTTTGACAGACTATTGGTTATTTCTGATCTCTCTTGATTCCCGTCAATTTCACAAGAGTGGTTAAGTGAAAGGTTTCTGCCATTTTCTGTTCTGTACTTTTTTTAGTTTGATCTTCATTTATGGGGAATCTCCATCCTGTGCTATTGTAGATCGGAAGTTAACTTGTTTTGCTATTCTAGTGTACCTATTTGCATGCATATTTCTTTATCCATGTTTTATTTATTTCTTCCATCCTTTTCACCTGCAGCCCAATACGGTCATTATTAGAATCAGGTTTTGGTGCGGAGAAGAGATCTGATGTCAGACTCTATTATGGTGCTAGAAATCTTAATAGGATGGCATATCAGGTACTATATAGTTTCTTGCTTACTGTTTAGAATTTATTCCTGTACATTTGTGCTAAAATATTTAATTATATATTATCAATTTACCTTTCAAGCTGTGTCTTATCTGAGTTTTATTTACTTTGCAGGAAAGGTTTAAAGAGTGGACTTCATCGGGAGTCGAAATTGTGCCAGTATTATCTAAGCCAGATGATAGCTGGACAGGGGAGCAAGGTTATGTTCAGGTTGTAATACATGGTTTCATTTTTACCTCTCTCTGCATGTGCCATTTCAATTGGTTGGGGTGCAGCTGTTTTATTTTGTTGCACCATCTAGAATGGAAAACACAATGTGCTCATACCATTGCTTTTGCAGGCTGCATTTGCTAGAGCCAAAAGAATCTTCAGTCCTCGGTCTACTGGGGCAGTGCTTTGTGGACAAAAACAGATGGCTGAGGTTTGTAGTTTCAATTCCAACAATTTCTGAGTTGTAGTTATTTCTAGATACATCTCTTGCATGGTACATGATTTTTTTCTGCTGTTCGACCTAACTAGTTGGATGCTTTTCTGTGTTATGAAATCTTCCATTTACCTTTCCCATCTCATTTTAAGGCTATTTTGTGAGAACTTTGGTGTTGACTATAATTTTTTAATCTCCATTCTGCTCCTGACTCGAAATCTGGCTTGTTACTACTGAAGGTTCAAGATTTAATGTATTTCTCTATATGTCTAAATGTTCTAGTTGTCGTCCGATCATGTTTTTTTTTCCTTTTTTGTATGTCTTGGAAGAAAATAGAGTGTTTCTCCTGTCTCAGTCACACTATGTTTGGGCTTCATTTTCTAAAAAATTCATTTTCAAGCACACATTCTAGCTACACATCCTCCAAAAAATTCAATATCATAAAACATATTTTTTTCCCCAAAAATGGGGCTCAAACAGGGGTATAATATTATTGAAAGTTTTCTTTTCTGGTGAACTCGACCATTTTTTGAAGTGAAATTGCTCTTAATATTCTTAGTTTTCAGAAGTAACATTTGAAAATATTATGTAGTTTTAACATTAATACTAATTTTGAAGTGAAAATATTATGTAGTTTTAGCATTTATACTAATTTTTGAGTCACATTTTCAATAAACAAAGTAGATTTATATTATTTAATACTCCAAAAATTGTTCGAATAGACCAAGACACTCATCAACCAGAACTGGGAGACAGTGAATTCTATTTTGTTGAATATAAATACAATGTTAAGAATGAATTTATCTTCTATTTGATAATTCAATTTTAATAAAACAGCTTACCTTATATTTTCTGAGTTGCCATGTCTAAAAGTGAGAAATATCCCAACAAACTACCAGTTAGCTAAAAAATATACTGCCTTTATGTATTATTTGTTTCCAATAACTCTGTTTGAGAGGACTGCTAAATATACCCGTCCACAACTTGAAGAGAGACTTGCAAAATACTCTAGTAATTTGGAAACTTCGGGGAAGTGAGGTGATAATGGAAATTTTACATGTCAAGTTTTGATGCAGAAATATATATCAAAGTAAATTCAGTTTGCATAGCATGCTGATTGATTCTAGAAACTTAAAATTGAATTTTAAGCACTGGAGCAGTTTGTAACTTGTTTCTCAGGAAATTTTAGATTTGGAGTTTCTTTGGCAGAGTAGGTACACCTGGGTTCATGGACGATAGGTGCTGGACGTGAAAAATAAACAAAATGTAAGCTGATACAAGAATGGAAAGACTATACCGCCTAGTGTTCACCTAATTAGAAAGATTAAAGTAGTGAAACTGAAAAAATGTCAATGTATGAGGAACTAAAAGCGCAACAGAAATTTAACGGCCGGATTGTACTGTGGACAAATTTAGAGACCAACCTGAATTTTCTTATTTGCCCACCTTTACCTGAAGATTATGCATCCTACTTTTTTCAATAAGAAGTTAACTATTTTATCCTCTATATTTAGAGAAGTAATACATGCCTTTACTGAGCCCTGTTTGAGCCACATTTGTTGAAAAAATTCATTCCTAAACAGTGATTTGATATCATTTTAATCACATATTTTTCAATGAAATAATATTACAAGCAAATCCAAAATTTTTTCTTATTTTTTTAACTACATATTTTCCATCAATACACTATTCAAAAATATATTCTCATGAAAATAATGTGGCTCAAACAAGGGCTAAATTTTACCTTGTCTGTACAACTCGGACACAGTTCACAATAAGAATACAACCTAACAAGGGTAGAACAACCAAGGGCAACTCAATGTATTCATGGAAAGGTATAGATTAGGCAGGCCTAGCCGTATGTAGTTAATATAGTAGCCAGCACAAAGGATCATTAAAATGACTGTAGGCCTATCTCACAGAAGCGTCCATGCTTGCACATAGACATAATCATAGTGGCAGTTTAACTTAGGGATGTTAAATGGGGCAAGCCACAAATATGATAGGTGGCTGCTTTTTGAAGCTGATTTGAGTTAGCGACTCTCAGTATTTGTTTGTTACTAGTTTCAATTGACTTTTAATCCCCATAAAGAAGAATCCATAGTCAAAGGAAGTGGCTGTGAGCGTCAATGCTTTAGCTAGCACGTTAGCTGGTTATATGTGTAAGTATTGCTGTATTCGGTGTCTCTCTGTAACTTGTTAACGTAATGTGTATCTTGATATCTTACTCGTGAATTACTGGATTCTGTGTTCTATTTCTCTAGCATTAGAGAAAGAAAATGAAATGATACTTTTGTGTATATTTTATGTACCTAAAATGGTCAAAATTCCAATGCTTGATTGATGTCTGTTTCTTACAGGAGGTTACTTCTATTCTTGTGGGTGATGGTGTATCGAGCGAGAAGATTCTAAAGAACTTCTGAATACCATAATTTTGGAGGTTGCAATGTTGTATTATTGTAATTACTCCTCGCATTCATTCATTTTGAGCTGCTGAGACTCAATTAGCTCAGTTTAAAGCTACAAAATAAAACCAATTTTTGCTACACCTCATAACTGTTGCAACTTTCAATCCGATTAGGTAAAGGATGCATTTTAAGTTAACCAATTTTTATGAAAATTATAGTCCTACTTAATATGGGAGAATGTGAACAACTCAAACTCATAAATGTATTTCATGGAAAGAGAAGACAGCAATTTTGCATTCTATGAATTGAGAGTACAAAGGATGGATTGCATTTTCTATCTTCTTTTGGTTCAATTGACATCGTGTTTGTCTAGATCATGCTGCATTTATAATTTCATATATGTTCTTTAACAACTATTTTCGACTAGAATTCCTTTCTTGAAAAATGGTTCTGCTTGGGGTTTGCAGCGATAACTTGGTATATCTACTATATGTCCATTACTTATGACAGGCCTACTGGATTTTATTGTTAATGGTCTTAATGGGTAATCAGTGGGGTGGTTTATGTAGTTGTCTGCATGGTTGTGGAGGAGTTATCTCCCAAGTTACATCGCTATTTGGATTGGCAAGTTGAGATCAAATGAAAAATCTTGATGATTCTCGAGGAGAACCATTGGCAGCAGCGCATATGATATGGCCCTCTCGTGGCAATGAGATAGGAAGGCTAGAAGAACTCATCTTCCTCACCGGGAGGCTCCTGTTAACATGATTAACAAATTCGCCAATGGTCTTGTTTCATTGCCATAAATCTAACATATACTTTAACGTTGTGGAAGTAAAACAATTTTTAGCGTGAGACTTTCAGTTTGGAGAACAATTTCCTTATACCCAGAGAAAAAGAGATCCTTCCGTTCTAAAAACATCACAGACGCACATGTTGAAAACGCAAGTTTTTATCAACCAAAACACCTGACTTGTTGGGTTTATTGTTAAGTGAAAATGATTCTGAGAAAGAATGCGGAAATTTTCGTACGAGTGCATCAAATGTATTCTTTTCAGTGCTTAACAGCATCAGCAGTGTGGCAACAATATGCACGAATAAATTAAAGCTCAAAGTCAGAGATCTCACGTTAACACAATTCAATTATAGTTCTGAATTGGTTTTTGGTATCCAGAAAACAATGGAAACAATAAAAACAAAGTCTAGCCGAGCAGTAATTATGTTTAAAGAATCTGATCATTTTGATTGATATGACCATTCATATTTGCCGCCTCAGAAGCATGTCATATGCATTTGCCATTGGCTTCTGCAGGCTGCCTAACCGGATCATTATCCTCTTGCAGCTTAGTAGTATGGCAGTGTCCAATCTTGTGATGATGGGGAGGATGACCATGTCGATGATGATGAAGATGACTCCTCCTGTGCTTTTCTTTACCTGGTTCAGCATTGTCATCAGATGATTTCCCCAGAGATCTGCTACTCTTTCTCCTCCTGCCCCGTATACATTCATAAGAATCTGAAGAGTCGTGATAGTCTGATCGGCGTTCAGATTTGTTGTGCTTCGCATGACTATTCTGTCTCTTAGCCCCCTCGTCGCTGGAAAAATCTGAACTTGAGTGTACCAGTCTATAATGTTTACGATGCTTTGCATGGCTTCTTTTTCTGGTTGCATCATCATCATCACCACCACCACCACCACCACTTGAAGATTCTGGATGTCCAGACTTAATCCACCTATGATGTTTGTGATGCTTTGCCCGGTTAATTTTTTTGACAGCATAATCATTCTCGTCGCTTGAAGAATCTGAGGCACTAGAACCGGAACTCATATGATCATGCCTGTGTTTCTTGTGGTCATGCTTCTTCATCTCCTCTTCTGAATCGCTATCATATTCATCACTGCTATAATCTGAACCGCGTGATCGTCTCCCAGGCTTGCGCTTGGATCTCTTATCCTTCCTCTTTTCATGGTTGCCTAAGTTGGAATTGTTGTGCTTTCTTCGCTTCTTGTGGGATTTTTTAGTCCTCTTTCTCTCCTCATCACCACTGTCAGAGTCACTATTGCTATCTGACCCAGATACAGATATTCTCTTGTGCTTAGCAGCCTTTGCCTTCCTCACTTTGGCTTCAGCATCAGCTTTTGCCTTGGCAGCAGCTTCAAGTTTCTGCTCCCATTTCAAGGGGGCTTCTCTCTTTGCCAAAACTCTCTTCTTTTTCTCTTCAACCAACTGCATAAATTTTTTGGCGTCCATTTTGATGTAAAACACAACTCTTCCTGCATTTGGTATGATGATGACCAGAAGTTCATCTCAAAAAAGAGAAGGAAACAATGTTAGTTCTTCCGCCACTATAACTACAATCGGGTAAATAATAATAATAACAACAACAACATCAACATAAGGAAAGAAAAAAAAATGATTTCAAAGAAAAGAAAGAAAATTCCTAACATAGTTTCATGTTGAATGGAAACAGAAACTTAGTAGCGATAAAATTATTAAAGTAGCATCATGAACAAGCGAATAACAGTGATTATGAGAACACAGCTTCTAAATTAAATCAGGAAATTTGAGAAAGGCAGCATACAAAACACAGTTATTTCATTTTTTTTTCATCACTTCAGTCAGGAAAAGCTAAATACACGAGATAACAAGAAATTATGCTATGCATGCATAATTCAATAATTATTGTTTGTGTCATTTCATTGACTGCCTTGTCAGCAGAAAATTTACACTCTTTCACAAATTAGCTTATCAAGTCATTCAACGTACACGATAGCTAATGAGCACTTTTTCAGCCTAAAACAAAGATATGAATGTGTGAAAGTTCTTTAATAACCCAAATAAAGACTTCTATTAAAACATCATGCATCTCCAGTTATATTTTATTTATTGCTAATTACTATAAGGGATTTCATATGATTTTTAATCACTTAAACCAGGATTCGTATACATAGCCCTACTTCAAATAGTCCCAGGTCATTTACTTAGGAAAAATGGGGCAAGGGGTTATCACAGAATTTCAAGATAAATTTCTAGGATAACCTCAATCAACCTGATTAAGTAGCTGTCTCTGAAATTTGTGTAGTTATAAAACATTTTGCCATAAACAAATAGTACATAAAAAATTAACACATGAACATTAAACTTCCAAAACAAAACAATGCAAACTTGAAACGGGTTTCTTACCTTCTGATGAGAGAAACCCACAGCTGCAACCAAAGATCAATTTGCGTTTTTCACACCAATATTTCAACAAAATCTGCAAATAGCAAACCCAAATTGTAGCAAATGCAAATCAGTAAATGTAAACCCTATATCAGAAAACACAAACATACAATTGACGAAAAAATCAACAATCAAATGGTTGACTAGACCTCTTAAAGCCAATGTGAAATAAAAGAAGAGAAAACCAAAACATCGGATAAAAACAGAAACCCTAGAAATTAACCTCTACAAGATCTCAAAAAATTACAGCCCATAATTCAAAAACTAACAAAAACGTATCTTGAACCCTGGAAAAAATTCAAACAAAAGCAATAAAAACACATACCTGGAGAAGAAAGAGAAATAGATCCAAGACAGGCAGCTTTCAGTTCTACAGAAAATAGAGAGGATCTCCCTTTCTCTGTCTATATGTGCATTACCAATTACAGGCTGCCCTTTTCACCAGAAGCTTCGACGAATTGAGGTGATGACTTTGAACATTTGTCAAAGGAGGAATTACGAAGAAACGTGTTTAATACGGGTTTCTTGTGAGTTTCGTTTGAATCCATTTTGCAAAGCGTGTTTTCCACAGGACATCAAGATAACGTGTTTGGTTGAGTTTTTCTCTTTTCTCTTTCTTATTTTCATTTTTTTCCTCTTTAATTTATTTTTATTATTCTACTTAATTTGAATAACATGCCACGTGTACCACACGAATAAGTGACTTTTTACAATTTTTAAACACAATTCATATTCATGGACTCAATTACTAAGAAAATTGATTGTCAGGTGAGTTTGAATAGCTGTGATCCGAGCTTGTTAGCAAATTAGACACGATCAAGCTAAATCCACTAAATTCGTTGATTTTATGAGTTGATCTGCGGGTTGACCGACTTGCCTACGAACTGGCTAGTGGGTCAATTAGCAAAAGACACAAATTTATTCTGGCTAGAGGCCGCTGCTCTTGTTGAGTCTAATTTGACAACATGTTGCATTTAAGAAATCCTTTGAATCTATTTTGTGGTGCAACTTTTTTTTACGAAAAGAGCCAAGATATATTTGGTATGCTTGATTAAATATAATAATATAAGATTAAAAATATTGAGTAACGCCATTTATACATCATGATTTACAGATTGATGTACAGAATTATGTCATGAAAGAGATAGAGAAAAAAAATAAAGAAGGAAAAAAAAAGTCAGTTAATATACACATCACCATTCTATAAGTTAATCTGTAAAACCATTATGTAAAAATATCATTATTTACACCATAAATTTTAATAGCTAGACTATATTTTAATTGTATGAAGGGTTGTGCTGTGTGTACACACAGGCTTACACCCCTCTCACTTGGAGGGGGTCCACATGTAATAAAATATTCGTGAGCCCCCTCCATGTGAGGGGGGTGTAAACTTGTGTGTACACCACAAGGTGTACACACAGCATTTTCCTTGTATGAAAAGATCACAACCATGCACGTTATCATATTTCTGTCTCAAACATTTTTCCACCCAATTCTTATTGTCAAATTAACATAAATTGTTTTGATTGTGGTTTCTCTCTATTTTTCCCCAAAATAGAGTATAAAGACTTATTTGTCTAATATATTTTTTAAATAAGCAAAACAAATAAAAAAGCAAAAATATAATTAAATATTTGACCTTCATGTTAAAGCACGTTAACAATATTGTAATTACACAATGGTGACATCTAGGTTGGAATTGTAATACTAGTGGTGTAGAATAGCGTTACTCCAATATAATTAGTATTGAGATACCTTTTTTTTTTATTGAAATTTTTTTTTTTTTTGAGTTTGTTCAGTATTATGTAATTTAGTTTAACCTACGAGATGAAATTTAAATAGACTACAATAGTATGAATAAGAAACTGTTTGTAACACAAAATCGATGTTTGTGATGAATGAAATATCTTTATAATTTTATTTTAGTAGATTATGTTGGAGACGACTTATAAAAAGGGCTATGTAAGAGTTGATTTTTGATATATTTGTTTGATTAGTTTTAACCCATAAGAGCGTGATCAAAACACAATTTATATAAATGAAAATTGGGATAGAGTTTCGGTATAAAGATTATGCAAAACAAAGATTAAAAAGGAGTAGAAATAGAGAATAATTCAAGGCGAGACATTATCTCTTTCCTTAAGAGAAATTGTCCCGCTACGATGCTCACGGTGAATGGCACTTGTCTCCCAAGATACAATGGATTCACAACTTGTGGTAGTAGCATTTCAAACCACAAGAAACAGACGAATTTTTGACAGAATTTCCCCTCTACAAAAGAAATGTATGAATGCTATGGAATTAAAAAGGAGAGAATTGCAAGAGGAGAATGAATGCTCAATGCAATTGGTGTACCCAAAATCATATCCATACGGTTCTATTTATAGATGTAGAAAGAGTGCAAATGAAGTAGTGTGAGCCAAAACTATGGATAATTCAACAGATAATCATTGATCAAGAGTAATAGACAGCCTAAAACCGAGCCCATATCGAATCTAACTCTAAATTTTTATCTCATCCGAAAATGTAATTTTAGGTTTCCCCATGCATAGACAAAGTTCAGGTCCAAAGTCAGTATCTGAAACACATATTCCCCCGATATATCCATCACGTTGGCAAGATTTTTGGCACTCTTTTTCTGTTTGAAGACAAACCCCTATAATACAGTCACCATCCTAATCATCATCACCTGCAACTGGAATTCGAAAAAATATTGTTAGCTTGGGAAAAATTCTCCGTAATAAGAAAATGAAATTTCGAATAAATTTACCAAAACTCATTTCATTTGAAGAAAGGACCAATGCAATGAAAAAAAGTCTAATGAAAAGAGATTCTTCAAAAGAGACCATTCTTCTGTTTGAAGTTTGAATTTTGTGTAGAATTTGATGAACACACATTTACCCCATATCCCATCTATAAATAATCGGTTTTTGACTTTCATATTACATAAACTAGATTATGGTAATTTATACTGATTGTGTAAACGTATAGTTATATATATTAATGAGAGGGCTTTGTTAAATTAATGCCAATCCACAGCCACAAGACAGATGAGCTTCTCCTCTTTCTATCAAACAAATATTGATAAACATCCGCATAGTCCCATCCGTTTCGACAAATAGAACTGAAGCACCCCCAATAACTAACCTGGGCAGTTTCTTTGGGAGCACACAAGGGAATTCTTGAAATATTGGAATTCTATTTGGGAAGATTTGTTGAAGAGATGAAAAATTCCTTGGTGATTTTACTCATTTTGGCCTCATAACCGATTTTAATAGAGAAACTAATAGAAATGGACGACAAGGGTGTATTATGAAGATTTGATAGTACTAAAATGAAAAGTCAAAGGGCACGTGCAAAAGAGCTAAAGATTAGGGGGTAATGTGCCAACTACTTCTAAACTTGTAGAAACCTTTGGTTACATGGATCAAGATAACTTTGAGTCTAGCATTTACAAAAAAAAAAAAGTGATATTTACATCTTCAATGTTGTTATGGTTGAGCTTTTAACTGACGCGAAGCAATCTTGTCGATTAAATCACACGATTGGGGAAGGAGTTCAACACGAATTTCTTGTAATCAATGGAGGAAAATGGTTTATTTGATATTGTTGATGCTAGGTGCTCAAAGAAGGCATGAAGGAACAAATCGTGGCTATTGCTCAACTCGCTAAAAGATATCTACATCTGAATGGGAAGAGGAGGCAACAAAGAAGTAGCAACAGAGCTCAGAGGAACTCTATCATTTGTACAAGATAATGTCCCTGACATAAAACAACAATCAATAATTGCGACATACTGAAAGATTTCAATTTACTCAGTGATATATTATTATATATAATTCCCCCTCAAACTCACGATACTAAAGCAAAAAGTAGCGAGAGTTTGTCACGCAGGAAATGAAATCGATGAACCTGATGGAACTTTAAAAGTCAGCAAACTGCAACGATGAAGAAACAAAATGTAGGGAAATAGTGTCAATTTGCAGATGATGATGAACTAGATGACAATCAATATCAATATGTTTCGTGCACTCATGGAACACAGAGGTGTGAGAGATCTTTATAGCACTTATATTATCACAATACATAGGGGTTGGGGAATAATGAGGAACACCCATGTCAGTAAGTAACCATCGTAACTACACAATCTTAGTGATAGTAGATGACATAACTCGATACTTAGCCTTAGTAGCATATACAAAAATCAGTAGTGGACTTGCGATCAATGGGGTTATTGGCCCAATCAGCATCAAAGTAGGCACGGAGTACTGAAGAAGAGGTCAATGAAAAATAATTTTTAGGCAATTCAATTATCTGAAATTCACTTTCTTTCCGTTCAAATTCCATCTTCGCAATCAAACGGACCCTAATAGATATATTTTTTTTGTAGACTTTCTGAATTATATGGCATGGAGATCTAATTAAATTATCTGTCAATAAATGTTAGTTTTTTTTTTTAATCTTATAATTAATGTTTGAAACATATGGTCAAATACTTGTGTGCAAAATTTTAGTATTAGAGAACATTATGCCTGTGTTCTGGGCGCACTACTTTACCCCAGCGTAAGTGATTTTGTGACCGTTGATGCCTCCAACGGTCACAAAATCACGAGCCACCTGCTATTGGAAAAAGTAGTACTGCACATGTGTCTTTTGCAATTTCCCATTTTTACCCTCCCAATTAACCCCCTTTGTTGTGGTCTGCAGAATGGAAAATCAAAGCCAACACTCTCTAAAAATTCCTCCACTCCACGACGGTGCCGACACCGCTGCTCAGAGGGCTGACGCCGCCGACACTGCTCCTCCACTCCACGACGCTGCAAAATTTAACTACTTTTCGACCGCCGCAATATCTTCAATTTTACCTTGCCCGACCGTGACAAATCATTCGGGACGCCGAACGGTAAAGTGCTCCGACAACCTGTTGCCCCACCCTACTCCGACGATAGCAGCGGCCGGTTGATGTACCCCCTGCAAACAGCTGCAACCCCGACGATGTGTTGACGACGTTCGAGGTTACGGGCCACCGATTGAAGGAACTCCACAGTCACATTCGACGGCCAACAGTCACAATCTGCGCTTCCAGTTTCTCCAGCACACTCACGGTCAGCTGTTCATAAATAACTGCTCACCCACGTCAAACAACCATGGACCCAGACATGTCCCCGGTACGATACTCGATCTCAAACCTTTTGTTGATTTTTCACTCTCACTGTACAATGGCATGGGCGTTTATTCTGCAGATGGAAATTGACTAATTTTCCTCCCATTTCGCAGCAGACAAATTATGGTTCACAACCACACCCGATCTCCTCCACATCACACGGCCATCTTGTTGACAGCGAATCGGGCCGTCGGAAGCATGCACAATGGACGGACTACGAGACGCAAATTTTTGTCGCCGCGTTCGAGACCGTAATCACTGATGGGCACCGAAATGGGAAGTGCTTCACGAAATTCGGATGGCAGACATTGGTTCGGTTATTCAACACCAACTCCGGTCACAATTGGAGCAAGCAACAGCTAAAAAACCGATGGGATGCACTCCGCTTGAAACACAAGAGGTTCGAAGAATTGCTCAACAGCAGCGGCGTTGCATATGACACGTCCACAGGCCTGATCAGCGCCTCAGCCGAGTGGTGGGATCGAAAGACGAAGGTACCGTTGTATACTCATCAGTACTATGTTTCTGTAATTGATATCCGAAATTGAAATGGCCTGTGTTATTGCAGAACTGGCTGTCGTTGTAGTATAGGGAGGCATATGTTATACAGGCATGTGACAAATGTATGAAAATTCTGTTGTTTGTGTTGAATGTTTGAACTGAACAACGTACTACTTAGCGGGATAGGATATGTATTCAGCTTCGAGAAACTGTTGCCCATTTTTTTCATAGGAGATGCATGCCCTTGCTTTTGATGTTATGTACACTGTAACACCTGTAATAACACAAACTCCACCACGTAGGAAGTGAATTGTTATGTAGGGACACCATTTCGATTATTCCAGCCAACGATTATGAGATTTCTCTGTCATGGTTTTCTAAGAGTTGGAAGTATTACATACACAACCTCTACTATAGCCATATGCTGCACGGCTGTACCTGTGTCTGTTGGAAGAAATTGTCTGTGTATTCAGCTCTTAAGCCAGTTAACTCTGCATAAGTTCCTTCTGTGTTTCCCCTGCATGCGAATCTGTTTTGTATGTGAGGCATAAGAGCTGAATTGCAGCACAAGGACTGCCGCATATGTGCTGCCAGTAACTGAAATTTTTTTCTCTTCCAATAAACTTGGGCAAATTTTTTATTTCTCTACGTTACTGCTTAGGGCTGCTGTCGTTCATGTTTCAAATCGTTGTCGCACAGTTGGACCTAG